GGAGATCTCACCAGCTATTAAAACTGAGCAATAATCAGCAATCAATTTTTCGAACATATTTTTGTATTCTGTATTTATTCAAGTAATTCAGCATTTTCAGATCCCTACCAAATGTCGTATCACATTCAAACTAATGCTTTCAGTGGTAAAAAGTATCAGTCATGATAGCACATGTAAACCAGGTAAAATACATTGACAGAGTAACACTTATAGATAAGTATGTGAACTTTGTACACACTGTGTTGTTATAAAGTTACCCTGTCACGTGAGTCAATAATATGCGCACACATTATCAATAATCAATAATTACATACAAGATGGTCGTCAAATCCACCCCGAACGAGTCAAGTTCACTCATCAAAACGCAGGTAATAGTATTTAATTGAAATGACTATTAGTACAAATGGAGGTAACGTCCACATGTCCCGCGTTGTGAACGCATGATAGGCTAATCTCTACCGACAATAGGTGATTTTCCGTACAATTGCGAGATCTCGCGAGATGCATGAAAGACGCGCGTCGAACGTCTGCCGCAAAAATCGAACGATTTGATTTTGAACTCGAATTTCTTTATTTCGTAGCTCACATCGACCGGCCGATCTTCGACAGAGGAATATTGCTTCCGAATACCCTTACTTAATCGAAATTGCCTATCATCAAATGTTATTAAGCATGGAAATGTTCCCAAAATACTTTCGCGTTTGTCGAATCCCACGCGATGTTTGACGCCACTACGACGCTATGACCTTTGTTTGTCCTGTTTTTACGTTCGATTTCACGCATAACGCGTGATTCTCGCAGTGTACGGAAAATGGTCTATTTCACGGCTCTGTTGAATAGGTGTACAGAATAATGCAAACCGGCGATAATTTGACAATGATCAATATATAAACGTAATATATCAGGTGACTTAACAACTAAAAATAACTTGAGTAACATGGCATGAACCCCAAAATCGCGGGTCTTGCGGCCTTTGCTGTAAAAGCCGACGGCATTTAAAAAAAAACGCCTTCGGCATTTTAATTTGTGGCATTTCATTGAAGTTAAAAACAGATTAGGTTCGAGACATTTCGACAGTCTAATGTACTAGTATTATGGACATCTGCCGTACCGTTATCGTTACATCACAGTCCTCCTATCACTATGGTTACATATAACGACACCGAGTGGTTCAAATTGATTATCGGAGTGTTATGCAAATCAGTAAAAAAAATAATACCTCTGTTTCACCGTGACTGATTTTTGATTTGAAAATTACCCCTTTTTTCGATGAAACTCTTTTCAATCGGAAGTAGGGATCAGGTTGACAAACGAAGCTTCTCCCCCAGCAAATCCGAGCTCACCGCCCGCTCACCAGCGATAATGTGAAATCGTCAGGCAACCCAAATGGCAAACGCAAACGCGATGGGCGTTA